ACCTCCAGTGAAAACAAAAGAAGAAGACGATGATCTAAAATAATCCATCCAAAGAAGCTCAAAGAGTGATCATTCCGTTTCTTTCATTTGAGGGATGTTAATCAGTGGACAGTCATTGAAGAAGACAAGCTGCCATGTTCACAAATATGTGTCTAACACAAACGTAACTATTTGGAAAGGATGTGAATTCACAATAGATCTTTCACGGCGGGGTCAAACGCCATGTTGTTGCAAAAGAAAAGAAAAAGAAAAACGCTTCGCCAAAACTGTTGCAGCAATACAGGTGGACTGGTGTGCATTTTTTCGAGGCATGGTGTCTGCCTCGAGTACTAGAGGTTCTGGTTTCAATCCCCGTTAAGGGCTGGAACTTTTCATACGTTGACTTTGACTTCTAGTAATTCTTGGTCTCTGGATGCCCGTGTGCATTGTTGCGCACGTAAAACAATCCCTTGGCAGTTGGAAATTTAAAAAAAAGTAGCCTAAAGGCGCTGCCCGGGCAAAATTTGGAGTTAAAAATCTTCTCAAAGTCTTTCAAGATCCTCGCCGGTGCTACAGAGCCTGTGCACTGTGCTGAGCTTCTTCGGACTCAGACTTGAGTTAGAAGAAGAACGAAGCCCTTATGGGTTACTACCCGTGTGCCATGATGTTGATCCGTTGTTCAAAACCGTCAAAGGTAGACCATTGTAGAAGTATACGCCAGTTAGTGAATGTATTGGATGTCAGCTGGGAGAAAATTGTTGTTCATAAGAAACTGCAATATTGTTACCGTGTATATCACGGATGTTGACCGACCACCGACAGAAGAAAGATATAGGATGGTGTTTACTGAGTTACAGAGCAGAGAGAGAGATGCATTTCTCTTCCGCACAGTGGCAGGCGGTGAATCATGGTGTCACTGCTTTGGGCCCAGTAGCACAAGACAGAGATTGTGCTTGAAGCATACTGGATCACACATTAAACAGAAAAAACAGTCTGATTGTATATCAGTCCCACAGTTTTACTTGAGTGTTGAGCGTCGGCCAGATCCCCTGGTCACTCCTCGAGCACCATTCTCCTCAGACCATGATGATGCATCGCCAGATCCCCTGGTCACTCCTCGAGGCACCATTCTCCTCAGACCATGATGATCCATCTGTGTCTCCACACTGTCCACTGCCTCTAAAGGGCGCTTACAACATCTAGCTTGTCATGCATGCAGCTTGTCTGTTCATTTACTAATACACCAGCATGTTCTGGGGAAAATATCCAAAGAACGTTAACTACGCAGGACCTCTGAAGCCATGCTTGCCACTCTTTACGGAGTATACCGGTCACCACCTCTTTCCACATCTTCTGTGAGTCAGTTACAATCATGACATGCGTGTACAACTCGAGTCAGTTACAATCATGACATGCGTGTACAACTTGAGTCAGTTACAATCATGACATGCGTGTACAACTCGAGTCAGTTACAATCATGACATGCATGTACAACTTGAGTCAGTTACAATCATGACATGCGTGTACAACTCGAGACAGTTACAATCATGACATGCGTGTACCACTCGAGTCAGTTACAATCATGACATGCGTGTACAACTCGAGTCAGTTACAATCATGACATGCGTGTACAACTTGAGTCAGTTACAATCACAACATGCGTGTACAACTCATTCTCAACCAGCGGAAGGCTGCAGTGACTGCCTCCACCTCCATTCTCAAACTAGACGTCCATAGGACCCTCTTGACACGCTAGATACATCAGGGATATTGTGCTAGACCTATAGTTTTTATACACCAACAGGCACTTGATGAGTCATGTGGTAACATCATGCTGGCCACCTTTACTTCCCAGAACATTACCCGGTACCTGTGAGTTAACTGAAAAGCCAAGGTCAATTCTGAAGAGAAATAATCCTCAACCTGGAATTTAACATATGTTTTACACCGAGAAACGAAACATAACTATTTGACCATGTTGTAGACTGACATTCATAAACACAGAAAGAAGAAAACAGTAAAGACAAGAGAACACACTCATCAACAATCAACAGCTCCTTTACAAAACGTCACTTGTCACAGCAGGCCTGAAAGTCCCTCTTTCTCTAGCCAATTCTCCAGCCCTATGTGCTTTCACAGGCAATGTATATTCAGTGTCTTGTATCAACTTTTGGAGAGGTCTGCCTCTGCCTCATTTTGTGGAAATTGTACCTACCCTCACCGGTTATTTTTCCAGGCCACCACAATGTAAACATGACCAAACAACCCTCACCGGTTATTTTTCCAGGCCACCACAATGTAAACATGACCAAACAACCCTCACCGGTTATTTGTCCAGGCCACCACAATGTAAACATGACCAAACACCCTCACTGGTTATTTTTCCAGGCCAAAACAATGTCAAAATGCCTCTGCTTTTGGGACAGGATGCTATTAATGAGCCAGTCCTTGATGCTGAGATCGTGTCAGTGTTTGAATTCTTCTTGGCTCACGATATTCTAAGAAATGTTTCTATCACTCCTGAATTCTTCTTCCTCTATTTTGACTCTGGTTTTGTGTCAGGACCTGAGTTTTGAGTGCTCATCTCTTTCACTGGCTTATTTGTGTGCAGTTGATTGTTCCTTGCCGCCCAGGCAGATGCACTCAGACTTTGAAGGAAGCTCCAAATTAGTCAACTCCTACGACATGCTTGATTGGTAGGCAGTGGGTCTATTCTTGTCTAAACCCCCCCCCCCCCTGCAATAGGGCCCTGGAACTTGAATTTAAAAGCTTTTACCTGGAGTTTTACGGTTGAGTAAACAGCCCATGAACCACATCCACTAGTTGTCCTGCAAAAGACACACAATCTCAACAACATTGCTTCAACTCATCTGCAAATGCTTCCCCTGAGTTCCACAGAATGTTTCATTTGAGTTGAAATAAATCGTCATCATTGAACTTGGGAAATCCCCTTAAGCGCTCCATCTCTATCACCGGCACACAAGGAAGAGTTCTAATTCTGACAATACCTGCCGCAGTTTAATTTTGTGTGTGCACATCCTCATTATTTAAACAAAAGAAAACATACATTTAGATAGAAATGACACATTTAATATATATTGAAACAAGAACTGTATTTTCAAGGTAAATTAGTTAATTTTATGTTATTTTACATTTTAAAGAAAAAGGAACAAATAAATAGTAACAGATAAGTTGCAAAAAAATAAGGAAATTTACAGTATTGGAATCTCAGCCTTGGTTAAAGGACACATTGTTAATTGGATTCATGCTCACAAGATGTTTAAACATCTTTCTCTCATAATTTAAAATAGTTTTGTAATTCAACATTGCGCATTCTTTAATTACCTGACATAATCGTAGCACACAAGCATTTATCACCCGTAAATATTCTTCCGTACATCTATCAATCAATCCTTCCATCCAGTAATTACACTAACCATATAAACATCTACTTTTAAACTATCTATCCATCTATCAACTGACCGCACACTATTCACCTTTCCAATGTAACTGTTACAAACTGACAGCAGGCTTCGGAAAACTGAAAGAAACTAGTGTCATTCATGCAGAGTGGCTGGCATCAGTTGGTGAGGCTCAGATCTGGAGCATATCATGGGTTTTCTGTCCAAGACATTCAGGAGTGCAAGGTAAAGAGCAGACTGATAAATTAGCTACTGCCGCACCTTTGGGTGCTGAGCTACTTTATGATAAAGCAGACGTGGTCAAGGCTCTCCCCCACATAAGAATACTATCCACTCATGTTATCCGATCACCTAATCACACTATCCGCTCACGTCATCCTGCTATCCACTTGCCCACTCATTAGGCTATCCACCTATGTAATCCAGCTAACCACCCATCTAATCCTGCTATCCGCTCATCAAATGACCCCCCCATCCACTCACCATTTTATCCATCCATGCACTCATCACAGTATCTGCTTACTGATCATCACACTACACATCCATCTGATCATGCTATCCATTTATGTACTCTTTACTATCCACCCATCACAATATATACACATCTAAAAATCACATCATCATCATCATTCAATCCTCTCATCATACTACCTATCTATTTATCCACCTACCTACTATCTGTCTGTTATCATAAGCAGGACGATTACAGATCATAGCTCTAGCCATGGCATGCCTGAAAACCTCTCTTTCTGTAGCCAATTTTCCAGTCCTATGTGCTTTCACAGCAGATGCATCTTTAATGTCCATATCCACTTCTTCTGCAGAGGTCTTTCTTTGCCTCATTTTCAGTAATCTGTACTCTTCATCACAGCTCTCTCTCCACCAACATGATATAGACATGGCCAAAATATCTCAGCTTCAAGGACAAGATGCTGTTTATGAGCCAACTCTCTGTGATGCTCTGATCAAGTATGATATCAGTGTTTGTCTTCTTGGTCTATGGTATTCCACGAATATTTCTGTACCCAGACTCAAAAAAAGGCACTATGGAAATCAAGGCAGCCAGTGTGGTAGTTACCACATTCCCATTTACTTATACAAATATGAGGTGGGCATTATATGCCTCTAGGTAGAGAGACAGATCCCCTACTTCCCTGTGTGGGTTCCGGTGCCCTATTTTAGGGAAAACAAGAATAGACCCACTGCCTACCCAAAAGCATGTCGTAAAAGTCGACTAATTGACAGCTTCCTTCGAAGTCAGAATGCATCTGCCTGAGATGCAAGGAACCAGCAGCCTGCATACAAATGAGTCAGATCTGTCAAATGGATGCACATGCAACACTCAGTTTCTGGAACAGGACTGCAGTGCAGAAGTGGACGAACAACCAGAACTTTTCACCAGAGTTTACAGCTGGTGAAAGCGAAGAAGACGAAGAAGATCCCCTACTCACCATTGACTACTCCATTCTATTCATGTGACCAGTTCTATTTACATATCACTCAACGACACTGCCCACAAATTACTTGCTCGTATCATACAATAAACAGACAACACAGTAATCATTAACATCAACGCAAACTACACTAACAAAAAGCCTCCTATCGTGTGCTAGCTCCCATTCCTCTGTGAGGGGTTACCAAACTCTCCAGCTTCTCAAAATACTTCCGGGCATTCTTGATGTTCAACTGTGTGGCTGCAGACGCTGTGTGTACAGTGGGAGAAATGTATCAGTTAAGACTGGCAGATAGACTTGGTTCAATAATATAAAACTTCCTTTTCCACGCAGTTAGGTGTATAGGGCATACAGTAAAGAAAAGTAAAGATCCCTTTTCACTCCTTAGACACATCAGGCATATGGAAATGGCACAAATATTTTTACAGACCAATCGACACTAGGTGGGTAATAAGGTCAGCAATATGTCGGCCGTCTTTACTTCCCCAGGTACATCCTGGTATCCATTTTAAGCTGGGTTGACCTGTGACGCCCCATACCATGATAAAAATCCACGCAGCCAGCAGTGAGTTTTGACCACGGTACAATGGAATTACAAGTCGGACTCGCAACCAGGGACGCCGCCATAGGGCATACAGTGCTAAACCTATATTTTATAGACCAATCAGTGATGCTGTCAACATCCCGAGACTGTAACTAGACCAATCAGTGATGTCGTTAACATCCAAAGACCTAACTAGACCAACCAGTGATGTTTTCAACATCCGGAGACCATAATTAGACCAATCAGTGATGTTGTCAACATCCGAGACTGTAACTTCCTAGGACTTTACCTGGTACCTATGTTTAGGCTGAGCTGACTTTAGAGAAAAGGTTATTTTTTTTGGAGAGAAAAAATTGGGTTCGATGTGGATCTGAAGGTTTTAACCTTCAGGCCAGATGTGAGCATCCAGCAGTTACATCATGCTGGTTCCCTTAATTTTATTGGCAATGCGTGGGATCTCAAACGAAGGAGGAGGAGGAGGAGGAGGAGAAGAAGAAAAAGAAGATGAAGAAGAAGAAAGTGGAAAATGAATAGACACAAAGTGAAATGGGGAAGTTTAGTGGGGGTGGGGGGGGGGGGACACATAAATAATAAGCAAAACAGACTCAGAATGACACATATTTTTTTATGCGGATTACTTTCCTGTGGTATCTTTCCACTTCTTCAGTACTAAACAATTCATCAAGCATTAGCTGATTTAACAGATTTATGCATATTTATACAGTATTCCTTATAAGACCAAGAGAATGCATTCAATTGAGTCAGTGAATGCAAACTATGAGAAATTCTAGAAAATTATGGTATTCAAGATGAACGGTTGGGTAACATCATGGCTCTATATCAAGATAATCAGTGCACAGCAAGAACAGAACAAGGAATGACAGACTGGTTCCCGTCTCATCTCATCAGGTGTCAGACAGCGATGTGTCCTCCCACCATTGCTATTCATTACTTACATGGATAGAAACACAGGAGGCTAATACAGACACTGAATAAATCAATAAACTTCTTTTTGCAGATGATCAGTGTGTAAAACACCACCAAGAACAGAATTTACATTACCATAATGACTCCTTACATCAAGCCTGCACAAAGTATGATATAAGAATGACCACTGCAAAAACTGAGGTAATGAGGTTTGACAGGAAACATAATATCATGAATGTTCATGTTAACTAACGGTACTTCAATCAAACAAGTATGAGAATTCAAATATTTAGGAAGCATGTGTACAGAGGATGGCAGACTCAAGGGAGAAATAGAAGCCAGAAACAGAGGGCAAATGATGTCACCTACCAGTTAGCTCACTGCTTAGACACCCAAATGTCCCCCTTCCAGCAAAATAGCAAATGATTGATAGCATCTTTATCTCTACTTTATGTTATCAGTTCTAATCATGGACAATGAATAGGGCAATAGAATAGAAAATAACTACATGTTAAAGAGAGACTGGGTTATGAATACCAGCATTAGAAAAAAAGTTGGAATAAGACCATGTCTAGATTATATTGATAGACAAATGATGAAACGCTTCATCCATCTTGTGAGAATACAGCCAGACCAGACTGCACATGAGACTTTTTGCAGCAGAACATCTGGGAGGAATGCAAAAGGAAGACCAAGAAAGAGATGGATCAATGGTGTAGCAGAAATCTGCAAAAAAAAAAAAGAAAAAATCCATCACCCAAACCACCTGAAAAGTGCAAGAAAAAAACCATGACACTGGGTATCAGATACGGCATTCCTTTCTAACCTGCTCGTGCCAGTTATTTTAACCAAATCTGCACTGGCTGTTAATTCAACTCTTCTGCCTCATGGTGTTGTTATTTCAATTTCTTATGACCCAAATATCCATTAGTTAAAAATAATGACCTCTTACGTCATAACGAGTCAAACTGATACTTATTTAAGACTCAACAAAGGAATTTTATTTCAGGTTACAGAAGTGACTGACCACCTAAACTGATGTATACGGACTAGGGCTGTCAAAATCTTGGTAGGCATATCTAAACCCAACATGGCCATCCTAGTTTTCCCTACAAGGGGCTGCCCAGACAGGAACTATCCATGCATAAAATACCAATGCTATAGTCAATTAATATTAAAACTATTATATCAACATACGTGGGTGTGTCCAAGCAGTATTTAAAAAAAAAGATCCCTTTTCACGCCTTAAGGCCCATTGGTTATATGGGAAGAGCACCCATATTTTTAGAGACCAATTGGCTGGGCCAACCTGCATCGCCCCATAACATGATAAAAATCTGCGGAATTACGAGTTGGACTCGCAACGTCTAAACCATGGACGCTGCCCAAGCAGTAAAACATGCTGATTTATTAATTTAATTATTTAAGAATGGTCATTACTGCACACCAGCCATACCCACAGGTTTTCAGTCTTCAGCAGCAAATATCTTGAGGTGTAGATGCTAACCGTTCCTGTAGCACAGTAATTATAAACTCGTCTTTATCTTCTTCTCATACGTCCCTCCTGGCCTGACCCACACCTAATTCCTTGTTTAAACATTCGTACATTTGCTGTTTCCCCTAACTCCATGTCTTCAATCAGTATTAGTTTTTAAATGGTCTTCAGAATATCTCCTCTGTCCAGTAGGAATGTTCCTGCAAATATCATTTTTGTAACCAGAAAATCCACTCTTCCATTTCCTTGCACTCTTGGACAGTACATAATTTCTAGTTAACAATAATTACATTTTCCAAACATTGGGCAAAATACCCGTAGCCCTCCTCCCCCTTTCCAACAAGCAGGTCACAAAAGGCAACTACTTAAGGGTGTTACATCCAAATCCATTGTGTATCTTCATAAAAGGTGAGGAGACTAGTCTGCTTAGAAATCAGCCAGATCTGTGAAACAGATGTGCAGGCAATACTCTAATTCTGGAACAAGACCAAAAGTCCAGAAGTCAAAGAATAACCAGAACTTTCTGTGGAGTTTACAGCAGGTGAACGCTGAGAAAAAGAATCACTAAATTAAATTTTTTAAATAACTCGAAGGAAACTTACGGATAGATGTATCTGACATGACCACCATCACCACCATGTTAGGAGTGAACATTTCAATGAAAGCTGCGAAAGATGAATTTCTGATCTCCATACTTTCAAACGAGGCCCCGATCTTGCTGCAGCTGAGCTTAAACTGCTTGATGATGTTGCTGATTTTCTCAAAGCGGTGAACGTCTCGGTGCTGGACCCTCTCGCAGTATGATATAACCTGAGAAAACATGAGACTGGTTGACATCATTCTACAATAATGTTGACGTTTATTCTTACGTATCAATACATAATTTAACTTAACTACATTCTATAGCAAACAGTGGAGCCTTACGTTGGCTTAAGAACATGTTTTACACACGTAATTGTAACTGACTCGCACAGCATGCTGAAAAAGGTCGACACAGACATATTCTGTTTATGACAAGTCAGAGAATACAGTCTCACCGTCTTGCTCTCCAATAATTCTGGAGCTCTATAAACAGGGAATCCCACGTCACAGAGATATGAAGTTGAGAATACAGTCTCACCGTCTCGCTCTTCACCAATTCTGGAGCTCTATAAACAGGGAATCCCATTTCACAGAGATATAAAGTTGAGAATTCATTCTCACCGTCTCGCTCTCCAATAATTTTGTAGCTACTCCAGCTGACTGACTGAACGTTGCTTGCTACTGGCGGAACAAATTCAACATGGCCATTGTCTGTTTAAAATGTAATTTTTAGTTTTCTCATTAAGATTCTACTTTTTGTTTCTTATTATTTAGTTTTATTCAGTTTATTTTTTTTCTCTTTAATTTATATTTTCCTGGAGCAGCCTCAGAGCCTCTGTGAAATTCATATGAAGCCCTAATAACTTTACAGTTCAACAGAAACTAGTCATTCATAACCTTATATTTATACAATAAACAAAAGCAAGACACTGACCAGAAATGTTGCCTTCTCAAAGAGAAGCACCTCGTCTGCATCCAGGATCTCAGCAAAGCTGGACAGATTTTCCTCAAGCTGCTGCACATTAGGAATCAACTGGTACACTATGGATGACCAGGCCTGCAAGAAAAGGAATCAATGAGTCAAAATGTATAGGACAGTTCTTGAATGATTCCAATTCATGTCCTCCACTCCCTACTTCAGTAGCCAACAGAGAGTTGCCGTACTGATAGTGTCAGTGGTAACCTGGTTATAAGTACAGTGGTACCTTGGCTCATAAATTCTTCTAGTCACAAACAGGTTTAACACCATTTCAAATCCATTATTCCAATTCATGTCCTCCACTCCCTTCTTCAGTAGCCGACTGAGAGTTGCCGTACTGATAGTGACAGTGGTAAGCTTTTATAATTACAGTGGTACCTTGGTTGGCTCACAAATGCTCCTAGTCACAAACAAATTGAACACATCATCATCATGTGGCAGGTTCTTTGCAGAACGTCACTCTCATCACTGTCTGCCTGAAAGAAACTCGGTCTCTCGCCAGCTCTCCCGCCTCATGTACTTTGATATTCAAGGAGTCACTTATATCCTGTGCACAATCTTCATGATGGTCGGCCCCTGCCCCTCCTTCCTGGTACCATGCCCTCTGCTATTCAATTTTCCAATCCGTCGTGGCACTTGATATGACCAAAATATTTCAGCTTCTGAGACAGGATGCTGTTTATTAGCCAATCTTCCTTGATGTTCAGATCTTTCAAGATGTCAGTATTTCTCCTCTTCCTTGTCAAAGATATGAGAATTGTTCTATAGCAATTCATCTCAAAAGCTGAACATAATCCCTAAAAAACAACTGACTCAACTGAGGAAACACTGTCTTGGAGCACAAACATGTTTCTGGCTGTAGTGAACCATTTCCCCCTTGATAACTATGTTTACAGTAGCGATGACGGCAGACAGTACATCTGAATTAGATATTCGAATTTATCAAGGGCCAATTGTGGTGCAGGGAAAAATGTTGGCCGAACTAACGAGTTGCTCAACCCGTGCGAGATGAGAAAACATGAGAATCACAAGTGTGGGCGATCTAGAACGTAGGTGAGAAAGATTATTTAACGCCTGGAAAGATCTAGAGCGTAGGTGGGAAAGATTATTTAACGCCTGGAAAGATCTAGAGCATAGGTGGGAAAGATTATTTAACGCCTGGAAAGATCTAGAATGTAGGTGAGAAAGATTATTTAACGCCTGGAAAGATCTAAAATGTAGGTGAGAAAGATTATTTAACGCCTTGAAAGATCTAGAATGTAGGTGAGAAAGATTATTTAACGCCTGGAAAGATCTAGAAAGTAGGTGAGAAAGATTATTTAACGCCTGGAAAGATCTAGAGCAGTCAGTCTTGTTTGGGTTCAGGGCCGGTGTGTTTGCTGAAGTGGAGAAAGTGTTTGTGGAATTAATCAAGTTATAAATTTGAATCAGATTTAGTTGTGAGATCCAATGTCAAAACTGGCTACCAGGTTTGTTTGACTTTGTAGTCAAGGCTGAACATGATCGTGATTGTTCGTCGGGAAGTTATCTGAAGCTGTTGTGCAAATGTACATTTGTGTTTTCTTGTGAAGGTAACGTTATTCTATGTGATGTATTGTTGTCAGTGATCGCCTAGACTGTGTTAAAGCCTCAACATACACTAGCCGAGGAATCAGCTGTTGTATGAACAATAAACAGTGTCAACGAGTCATGTCGTTCTTATCGTCCATTCTTCACCTGTTCAGTTATGTGTACATGTATGGTTGAGGAGACTGCAAGTGACTGCAGCCAAGACTGAGTGTAAATAGTCACGGCACTGGCTAATAAACATCACTGGTTGTACTCAGGTTTGTCACTGTGACCACTGTCTATCACTGTTTTGTTCTTGACATAATTTATTTCTCCATTAAATTAACCCTCATCACATCATTTCCGGTTTGTGTCAAGATGGCGGGACGTGTTTCTCTCTAGCTCGGCGCATATCGGTTTATCGACGGTCCGACAAGCTGTCATCGCAAAACCACCAATTGTTATAGAATCAGATTTCTGTTCCGAACCAATACACAAATAAGGCAAGAATCCAGGCAAGAGTATGTGTCTAATTTTATACGAAAAACGCCGCTGGAACTACGTCGGCCACGCCCTTAGAATGGATAAATCAAGACTTCCTTACCAAGCCCTCATTTGGACACCACAGGCGAAAAGATCTCGTGGAAGACCAAGGGAAACCCTACGTAGAACTATCATCAGGGAAGGCTCGCTCATGGGCCACTCAAACATCCAAGACCTACAACGGATTGCAACGGACCACCGTGCATGGAGAGTCACGACCTCTGCCCTATGTGCCGCACTCGACACAAGAGGAAAGACTAACTAACTAACATCACATATTGCTATGATAGTGCTACAGTTAGCAATGGAATCAATGATTGTAAAACTGCCTAGTAAAAACACACAACCATGATGCTTGGCTGGTTTGTGAGACCCTGAAGAGGGTATGCCAGAAAATGTTGTTTTTTTTAACTGAATTATATTTCATTTCATTCTAAAATAGAAACAAAATTGAAAACATTATAGTAATTACATTTCCAATATGAGAATGCAGCGAGACGAAACTGCATGAGATTTTTTTTTCTTTTCTCACCAGAACATCTGAGAGGAAGGTGAGGGGCAGACCAAGAAAGATGGATATATATATAGTGTAGCTGAAATCTGCTCAAAATATAAACAAACCCATCATACAAGTCATCAGAGAAGCTCAAGACAAATAGAGACCATCAGTGGTATCAGTGTGACAACAAACCAAGAAGAAATTTCCAATTACGCTGCAACAAGCCAAACATCTATAAGAAACAATAAATGGATTCAGAACTGACATCCTCGCACTCAAGGCAGTGACATACATGTCCCATCTCCTTCATCCGCAGCCAATAAAGAGTAGCCATACTGATAGTGCTAGCTGTAAAAGTCTGCCTGTCTGTTCCCCTGCATGCTGAAAACAGTCCAGATCCTCTGTTCACTCGCTGCCAGTCTCTCCAAGTATGGATGCTCTGTTGCACTGTTCACTTGATCCCAGAGAGTCTTCATCCCAACCGCTGTATTATAAAGGTAGCTTACTTGCCCAGAGAAGCAGCAGCAGCAGCCAATCTATCAACACACTCATTACCTCACACCCCACAATATTCTGGGTAGACGACATCCACCCTTACATCTAAAATAAACAGAAGCATTAATATAATATTGTTTGTAGACATCAGAGTCGGTGGTTTAGGCCCTAGGAATGGGCTTCGTAATTCTTCTGTGTCTGGTTCAATCCTAGCTGCAGGTGATTTGGTAGCAAACTGCCTTAAACTGGTTTCAACGGTGGTATCGACAGCTGACCGTTCAGTAGTAATGGCAAACTTAAAGGTAGGTTGCGTGTCCTTTACAGGACGTCGCAGAACCAACCCCATCAGCCCCTGGCTGTTGTGTGGTTTTACTAGGCAAATTTACGTCCAGTAGTTTGCCATTGCTTTCTGGATGGTCAGCTCCCTGATACCACTGTCAAAACCAATGCAAAGCGTATGGTCCGCAGCTGGGATCGAACCCGGTACCCCGGCATTACGAAGCGTTCGCATCGACTTAGCCACAGAGCCGACATTGGCAAACTACAGAAAGAAAAATTGCCCAGTGAAATCACAAATGGCGCTGCTGTGGTTGGTTCTGTCACGTCATGTAAAGGACACATATTTAAGATTGTTTTCTGCAGACATACCTTGTATAAAGTCTCATCCCAAATGGATGTGGCAAAACAAGTACAGTCCAGCGGCTTGGACAAACGCTTCAAATCTTCCTGTCTCTCATGAAAGATCTGCAATACAACAGATTTTAGCGTTAGCGGGCAATGAAACAACTTGAAATACTCAGTGGATAAAATTTGTGATAAAATTCATTTAATTTATAAAGATAATAAAGGAGGATGAAAAAAAAAAGGAACCGCTGGCTTAGAAGTTACAACATGGGACTCTCACTCAGGAGACTCATGTCTGACCCCAGTAAGGTGATGGAGTTTTTCTGTCAGGGGGCAAAATTAAACATCCTAATCTGTAGTGTATGGTGACAGCACCAGCCATGAGCCCTAAATCCTCAGGTTCACAACCCCTCTAAAAAGTGGCACATAAAGATAGTAGTGACAGTTTTAATACGTATAACTTGGAACGCTTGAGTAATTAGCAAAGACTGCCTAAATGACAAGCTGACAGGATTGACTTCACTGCACCTGGTTTTATCCCATATGCTCCAGTCTCTTCCCACAGATGGCAACCCTGTACACACGAAGCTGAAATGCCGTAGCACCAGTGAGGATTCCCAAGTATCATCGTAACAATCACACTCATGGACCAAAGCAATGATGTGGACTAGTCACTAAAATCCAACAATCATGTTCTTCCTTCAAAGGTATTAACAATGTCAGCGGATCCATGGACTGGTTATCTGCAACAGAGGCAAAGCCAGCCAATCTATCAGCTCTTTTATTTCCACCGATGCCCTGCCACAAAGATTATGGTTACCCCATGAACGGCAGACCTTAGCAATACAGTCTGTAAAAAAGCCCACCTGCAGCCACAAGACCATGCTCATGGAATAACTCAGTAAACAAATGTGGAAACAGTCCTGGGAATCCAGCCATATAAATGCTCCTGTCAAACAATGGATGGCAGAGATAAAGCCTTTACGTCCTTTTCAGGACGTAATTTTTTGTTATTTGAAGCCCCACTCTGGCTTTTGCCAGGGGCCGCAATATAGGCAGGCCATAAATATGGCCAGATGTCTGAACGCGGTTTCTGGGACCTCTCCACGAGTGATCCTCATCCGCATGGTGGCACTTTGTGTCATCGGGTGTTTGTCGCTTGTGTGATGTCCTGGTGGGGTAGAAAGTCAGTCAGTCAATGGATGACAGATCTCACATTGGAAACTGTCCTGTGAGAGGATCCCTGGACCCCATTTTGCGGGCAAAGAATAGACTCACTGCCTAACAAACATGTGATAAAAGGTGACTAATAAGGGATTTTCCAACTGAAGTTTGAGCACATCTGCCTGACAGGCAAGGAACCAACAGTCTGCATGCAAGTAAGCCAGATCTGTAAAATGGATGTGCACACAAAATGCAAGTTGTAGAACAGTCTAGAAATGGATGAAAAACCAGAACATGGCACAGGAATTTACTGCTAACAAGAAGAGGACAACTGAAGCTCACAATGTCCCTCTGGTCATCCTGCACCAAGTCCATCTTGTGAATCAGGCAGAAAATCTTGGCCTCCGGGGAGTTCTGTAGGATGGCTTCGAGACAAGACTGGTAGTAGTGGATGTCCTTCTCCAGCTCCCGACTCTCCACGTCGAAGACGTAAATTAGCACCTCAACATTTCTGAATATGTTGTCTCTTTGGCTGGCAAAATAGTTCTCCATGAAGGCCTCTTGTCTGTAGAAAGAGCAAGAAAAAGAAGAAAACACAATTTATGTCATATTCATGTTAGTATGCCAGAGTAAGCAAATAAAATACTTTTAAAGGACAAAGATCCAAATCAAAGTCAAATAAAACTACTGAGTGTCAACTGGTCTGTAAAGATGAGGACAGCATCATTTACCCAGTAGCCTCTGGTTTTTTAAAGAGATCATTTACTTTTCTAATAAATTTTCAGAGCTGCATCTTTACTTTACTTTTATTTAAACATGTTAAAATATCTAAGCTACATCATTACTTTCCTATTTCACATGCTGAAATATCTAAGCTACATCATTACTTTCCTATTTCACATGTTAGAATATCTAAGCTACATCATTACTTTCCTATTTCACATGCTGAAATATCTAAGCTACATCATTACTTTCCTATTTCACATGTTAAAATATCTAAGCTACATCATTACTTTCCTATTTCACATGTTAAAATATCTAAGCTACATCATTACTTTCCTATTTCACATGCTGAAATATCTAAGCTACATCATTACTTTCCTATTTCACATGTTAAAATATCTAAGCTACATCATTACTTTCCTATTTTACATGGTGAAATATCTATCTAATCCACATCTTTACTTTCCCTTTTTACATATTAACATATTTATCTAAGCCACATCTTTAGTTTCATATTTTACATGATAGTAAAATAGTTGTACACTACACTCAGGTCCCAGCAAATGGCCAAATCCAAATGGACAACCAACCAGGATATTCCACCAGAGTTTACAGCCAGTGAATTCAAACAAGCAAATAGGCACTGAGCAGGAACAATATTTCAAAAATTCCCATCCCCCCCCCCCCCAGGTCTAAGATGGGTACAATGTCAAGTCCTGGGAAGTAAAGGTGCCCAGACTGATGCTGACCATATTATCCATGAAGGGCTGACTGGTCTATAGGAATACGAGCGTAGCATCATATGTCCCATGCAGTGCTGGTTAAACAGTGTGGAAATAAATCGGGAAAATAGACCTAACAATAAATGTTTGTGAGTTTGTATTTTTACTGGGAGTCGCCGTGGCACTATCATCTAGATACCCGCCTGCGGATCAGAAGATTTTTGGTTCGCATCCTGACAGAGCCAGACTTTTTTCAAAAACGACCTTGACTCCCAAGTCAACCCAGCCTTGAGTGGGTACCAGGTGCAGCCCTGGAAAGAAAAGGCAGCCGGCGTGATGCTGACCACATCACCCACCAAGTGTCGATTGGAATATAAAAATTTAGGTCAGGCCCTATATTCCTAACACGCCTCAAGGCATGGAAAAGAGACCTTGACTTACTTTTACTGCTGAAGATGTAAGCAACTATCTTAAAGTAGTGTTTGGATTTACAATCTCTAGAAACTGCAATTGTTATTATTAAATATTTTGAATATACTTCTAATCCTTGATAAATCTGGGAAAACTGCCTAAGCAAGAATCAGACATGTGTAGGGATCTTATCACTTTAGGTGGTGGGTGCAGGGACTAGCCAGCTGGCGCTACAGAATCCAGAGTGTTATGATGCTGATTCTTAATTCAACATATTAGTAAATATTTTGAATTAACCTTTAATCCCATCACCTGCTATATTTATTTAGTTTCTTTAATAATAAAAAAGACATAAGCCATCACCTTATACTTATAATTAACCCTCTGGAGACAGAGCCTTTGAGGAGTTTCAGTGCCTTAAAAACAAAACCTTCAGGAGAGGATTCTCTTAGTTTACACATATAAAATTTTAAAAAAATTAAGTATTTAATAAACATATAAAAAAACTTTATGTATTTATGTAGGAAATTGAATGAGCTAACAGAATATTTATGAATCAAACTGAAATCTCAACATTGATTAAAATTAACTACTCTGATTTGCATAATTTATGCAAGAATTTTATTTTTAAGTTTTACTTTAGAACAAACACTACTAACCTGAAAAATTTGGGTGAATTTTTTATGAATGAAACCTGAACGAGTCCTAACACTTGTGTTTTGGGGAGTAAGGTTCATATAGGCCCTTCAGACATGTCTGGCACATGATGGTTCTACTCCTTTTCCTGCCTTGTTTCGGTTGCTATGATGCATGCACAGTTCTTTTTTGCCACTGTTGAACACAAATAACCCCACACGCAAAAATCTATGTTAAACTACAGAAAAGACTTTCTCGGAAGCTGTCACTGAACAGCCCACATATGCAGGAAATGCGAGAAGCAATCTGACTGGCTGGTATGTAAACATACCAGCCAATCTCAAAGTTTGTATTATACAGGGCTGACCGATCGGCCCATCATCCTTTTGGCTATTTTCTGTTGAGCCCATGAATCGGCCACATCATCTCCAAAGGGTTAAAACACAAACTTGCAATACACCATGCTGTCACTAAACAGCCCACATGTGCAGGAAATGCAAGAAGCAACCTGACTGGCTGGTATGAAAACATACTAGCCAATCTCAAAGCTTGTATTAAATAGGGCCGACCAATCAGCCCATTTGTCCCTTTGGCTATTTTGTGTTGGGCTGATAAATTGGCAGCATCATCTCCAAAAGGTTCAAACCCAAACTTGCAATACACCGTGCACAAACAACATACAAACACATACCCTCCACAGTCCCACAGGTTTAGCACAAGGTTTCCAAGAAATCTGACATGGGAGTGTTCAACATCAACTGAAACACAACATGTGAACAAATGAGAAACATCACAGAAATCAATAATAATCTTCCTCGTCTTGGTTCCAGGGTCCTATTGTGGGAAAAACAAGAATAGACCCACTGTCTGCCCAAAAGCATATCACCAGAGTAGACTAAATGAGAGCTTCCTTCAAAGTCAGAGTTCATCTGCCTGAGAGGCAAGGAACCAAAACAGTTTGCATGCAAATATGTTAGACCTGTGAAACAGATGTGCACAACACTCAGTTTCTGGAATATGACTAGAGAGCGGGAGGAATGTCAGAAATGGTTTTATCTATTTAATGATACCTACCAAGTCTACTACACATCAGGCTAATGCAGCCTTTAGCACAGCTGTTATGTAGGTGTACTGGCCACTGCCCAAAGACAACATGTCATTAAACAAATATGTCAATGCTGAAAAACCGGCTTTCTCTGGGTATAGGGTAAATGTAAAAGAAACAGCAGTAGCAAACAACTCAAGCTGCAGTGGCAAAGCAGCCTGGCTATGCCAGTGGTTTTGCTTCAATCCCTGTGTGGGTTCCGGGGCCCCGTTATAAGGAACACAAGAATAGACCCACTGTCTACCCAAGAGCATGTCGTAAGAGTCAACTAATTGGGAGCTTCCTTCAAAGTCGGAGTGCATCTGCCTGAGTGGCATGGAACCAACAGTCTGCATACAAATGTATCAGATGTGTCAAATGGATGCACACATGCAACACTCAAGTTCTGGAACAGGACTACAGTCCAGAAGTGGACGAACAACCAGAACTTTCTGCCAAAGTTTACAGCTGGTGAACGCGAAGAAGAAGAATCTTCAATTCCCGAGTAAAGATAGAATACTTTGTTCCAAACCCTCACCAAATGTGCACCAGGAAATGTTCTGGGAATCGTTTTAAAAGGCAAGTTGGGAAGAAAAGGAATCGGTCACCACACTTCATAGTGACACTTTCTTCTTCGATCCTTCTGTCAGAAATCTTATGACAGGAGTCCAGTTGCCTTGAGTTATTCAACCGTGCAGTCAAAATCTCCATGTGTATCATTTTGTTTTAACTTGGATATTCATATTTATATTATTATATGAACATGATTTATTTATAAACTACAAAGGCTGTCTGAAAGATGAGTGTTTGGAAGGGCCAAATGTGAGACGGGGCTGCTAGCCCAATTTGTAATCTTTTGAAAAAAAAAACATAAAGTCTGTACGTTTGTTTATACAGCGTTGTCTAGATTCGGGTTGCAACAGGTTGGATGTGACAAGAGATTGAAAAAAAATGACCGTGGCTACCAGGTCAACACAGCGTAAAATGGGCCAGGAAATGTCCGGGAAAGCAAAGATGGTTAGGATGATGTAGACCACACCATCCATTTAGGACTGGTTCGTGATAAAAATACGAGTCTACCATCACATGCTCGATGCCCCAATGCTGAGAAAGAGGCCCTTCTCTTCTTTTTAGTTTATGCCACATGGCGTTGGTAGTCAGGTCTGTCCCCAACCTTCTGTCTGGTGTACTTTCAATCAGTTCTGACACAAAATAACATCCATGACGAGACATTAAATGTTCCAGCATCTTCTCTCTTGGCCTCCATCTGCCTCTTTTCTCCTCTAGCTTTATAATCCGCAGTTTTTAACGTCTCATGATATGATCAAATAATGTAGATTGTCTCCCTCTGATGTGGGCAATCAGTTTCTTTCAAGACATCTTCATTATCTTTTTTTCTTTAAATATCTCCAAGGTATTCACATTATCCATCTATGAAACAACATCCCCGCCTCTTCCAAATAATGTTTCACCCGTCGTCCAAGATTCAATTTCATATATCAGGACAGTATTTATAATTCTCTTTCTCATCAACTGACAACAAATACTGCATAGAATATTCTTCATTTTGTAAAATGCCACCTTACTTCACTAACATGGAAATACTTTCAAGAGGCAAACACTACTAGGGTCTCCAAGAACTGGTTATAAATACAATGAACTGTTCAACCCAACAGAACTCTATAGGCACTCACTTGTTGCTCCAAGTCGTCTTGTGTCTCGAGCAATGTAATTGGCAAATATAATCGACCTCATGCTGGTTTTTCCTGAGCCACTTTTGCCCATTAACAAAACCTGAAAATAGCAGAAAATGAAATCTCATCAGAAAATTTTAGCACAAACCACAGCCTTCCCTGAGCACAAACCACAACCTTCCCTGAGCACAAACCATGGCCTTCCCTGAGCATGAAAACTGGATGTGTTATTATAAGAAATGTTACAGACTCAGGTCCTTCACCATCTTCATTTTCTGCCAGGGTAACTGAATCAGGGTACAGAAACATTGTAACCACCCATGCATTTTATAAAAGGGGTCTAAGCAGGGTATGAGACACGATCTGAGCAGTAAACCCTTTTAGCCTACTTTTTATCTTTTTTTTTTTTTTACTACCTAGTTCAGTGTTTACCATTTGGTGGTCTGCGATTTTGTTTTTAATTTTAAAAAAAAAATAAACTCTTCTTTGTGACTCTAATATTTATCAATCACAAAAAAGTTCTTCAATATAACTGTTCTTTTAGAAGGAGACGGAGCACATGTGGGAATGTCCTGAGTTCACGGATATCAATTCTTGATTTCATTCATTCAGTGTAACCTAAAAAGTTTTTGGAAAGGGAACCACTGACTTTCCAGTATGCAAACTAGAGATGCCAAAGTTTCGCCTGACCTAAGAAAGCTCTAGAAACTTTTAAGGTAATATGTGGAAGGCAGCTTGGACTGGACAGTTTGGGCTCAAAAGTACTACAGCAGCTGGCTATACAAAATGTTCTATGTGGTGTACAGGGCCAAACTGAAATACCAGTCACAGAACAAACTTTACAGTGGAATGAAACCTGGAACACGGACTGATCAACCAGTGAACTAACTTCTATACTATCAAAGATCTGAATTTGTGCTTCTACAGCCACTGAAGCGGGCACTTAACAAAAACAGGGTTCTGGACAGATGATCCATGGATTACTGGTGTCAGGACAGTATAACTGTGTACACAGTCTGTGGATTAATGGTGTCAGGACAGTAAAACTGTACAGAGTCTATGGATTACTGGTGTCAGGAAAGTATAACTATGCAAACAGTCTATGTATTACTAGTGTCTGGACATTATAACTGTAAAAAGTCTATGGATTAATGGTGTCAGGACAGTATAATTGTGCCCACTCTTTGGATTACTAGTGTCAGGACAGTATAACTGTAAACAGTCTATGGATTACTGGTTTAAATGATTCTTGGTTTCACTTGGAATGATTCATGGCTTGACTTGAAGCTACGCTTTTAACTATCTTGAAATAAACTTGGAATGAACCTTGATTTGCACCGATTTTAACATCTAAGGTTGATAACATAAACGCCACTCAGCTCCTTTGTACATGCTGTCAGTTTATTCATTTACTTTTATTCCACAGCTTCCACAATTATTTACACTTCTATCGCTCATGACATATTCAAATATTAGTCATTCTCGCGACATAAAGACTACATCTTCAAATAACTGTAACCGTCTTCCACGACTTCTGTTGATCAACTGACCACGAGTCTAGCTCGGGCTTCCCCTCGCTTACTCGACTAGCCACAAGTATCTCGTGCTGTCACTTGTTGCACGGACTTTCTACTTGCCACAATGTAATCGTGGAGACCATGCAAAGCATCTGTATAACTGTGTACACATTCTATGTATTACTGGTGTCAGGACTGTATAACTGTGTACACATTCTATGTATTACTGGTGTCAGGGAGAATAAACACTGAAAAGACAGAAGTAATGTCAATAGGAAAAAAGAAGACAGATCTAAACATAACAATAGAATACAAAGGCATTAAACAGGCATCTGAGTTTAAATATCTGAGAACTACATTTACCGAAGATGGGAAATTGGATAAAGAAATTGACATTAGATGCAGTAAAGCAAACCAAGTATTGGGACAGCTAGCCCCCCTCTTACAGCATAAGACAATCCCAATCAGCACAAAGAGACATCTTATTCAAAGCATATTTATTCCAACTCTGTGCTACCAGTGCCAGACATGGTCACTCACAACAAACCATAACAGAAAATTAGTAACCACGGAAATGAGATGTCTGAGAAGGGCCGTAGGAGTGACCATAAGAGATAAGATCAGAAATGAGATCATAAGAGAACAAGTCGGCACAGAACCAATTCTGGATTACATACAAAGACAGCAAGTGAAATGGTTTGCCCACTTAGAGAGAATGCCTTGTGACACCATACCATACAAAGCATACATGGGAAGAGAAGAAGGACGTAGAGCACGGGGTAGACCAAGAACAAGATGGAAGGATAACATCAGAGAAACTCTACAACAGCACGATGTGCCTATGGTCGAGGCAGCCAGAAGAGCTAGAAACAGAACCTTATATCTCCCTCGACACCCACAGCGGTAAAAGAGGAAGTGAAGAAGAAGAACTGGTGTCAGGACAGAATAACTGTGTACACATTCAATGTATTACTGGTGTCAGGACAGTATAACTGTTTACACATTCTATGTATTACTGGTGTCAGGACAGTATAACTGTTTACACATTCAATGTATTACTGGTGTCAGAACAGTATAACAGTGTACACTGGTAGTCTTAGTTTCAGCTTCATAGCAAACGGGTCACCCCATCTTTGCTCCGCTCCTGTGCCAACGAAAAACACACAGAATGTTTATCACAGTCCCTTGTGGAAAGATTGACAGACTGCTGTGTCACCATATCTAGCATACACACGCATTAAAGCATACTGTAGCCATCCGAAGTGCTAACACAAACAGTCCGACATTAGAAATGCAGTTCATCACTGATGGTAGCAGAAGTCACCAACAGATCAGCAGCTGCCCACGCGATCAATTTTAATCATATACGGGCACCACCAACATTGCGACTAAAGGCATCGCACCATTTTCCGAATCTACAATTCAGACCACCACGTTGGTCAGTCGAAAAAAACATTCTAAATGAAATCCACAGCTCACAGCGTAACGCCATGCATTCAACTCAGAAGCTTGGCGACGAAATTATATCCAGTCTACAAATGGAGCAAAAATGCATCGGCCACCGTCCGGCAGAAGCAACAAATTTGCCTCAGCTCAAAACAGTGCCCCTGCCTAGCATCCAATTTGACCGGAAGTCAAATCTGTGTACACAGTCTGTGGATTACTGGTGTCAAGACAGTATAACTGTGTACAGTCTATAGATTACTGGTGTCAGGACTGTATAAATGTGCACACAGTCTCTTGATTACTGGTGTCAGGACAATATAACTGTGTACATAGTCTAAGGATTACTGGAGTCAGGACAGTAAAACTGTGTACACAGTCGGTGGATTACTGGTGCCAGGACAGTAAAACTGTGTAGTCTGTGGATTACTTGTGCCAGGACAGTAAAACTGTGTACACTGTCTGTGGATTACTGGTGTCAGGACAGTATAACTGTACGTACACTCCTCCTCACATAAGGAGAACAAAGGTGTGCAAATAAACTGCTCCTCAACACTAGAATTAGGATATCAAAGGTTTGTACATAAACTGCTGCTTCATACTAGTTTTAGAACAGCAATGATGTGCACATAAACTCTTCTGACTGGTGTGATAACAGCAAAGATGTGCATATAATTTGCTCTAACTGTTCTGAGGACAGCCAATGGTGTGCACATAAAATGCACAGATTTTCTGTACACTAGTGGTGTGAGGACAGCAAACTCAGCAAATACACTGTGAGGGAGAGTGCAGGTGTGCACACATCCTGCTTCTTACTGGGACGTTTTGTTTGTATACCCTTCTATACCTGCTTGTGCACTGGGACGTCTATAGGGCATCTTAAGTCTGGGGTAGATTCACGTCGGCTCTGTTAAAAAATAACCAACATTGCCATTCATTATTTGACTTACCTGTCTCGTACAACACAACCAGAAACGCTACTACAGTATCAACTATTAGATGAGTTCAACATTTTAAAACACTACTATAGTATTAACTTTAGATGAGTTCAACATTTAAAAACTATACTATAGTAGAAACTAGCAGAAGAGTTTAACATTTAAAAACACTAATATAGTAACTACTAGATGAGTTCAACATTTGAAAACACTACTATAGTATCTATCATTAAACAGTGTGATAACTTCCTCAGAATGCAGCCACAACAACTACCAAAAGAGCTGCGACATATAAAAATGATCTACTGTGAAACCTAGAGGGTGCCTATGGAAAATATGGACTGATGACATTAAATATCTACATCTACCGAGCATTCATCCACAAACTCTTCCTGACCCACAGCATTCATTATTACAAATTAAATTTCATGATGACTAGTATTAGCTATAACTTTCAGATGACTTCTAGCACAACAAGAGGTCTCAGATCAACAAATAAGGGGCCCCTTTCATAAATGTTTAGGCCCATCCATTTCATAACACGCTATGAGGATGGGCCCACACAGATCACAAAATCCTGGTGTCTCTATTCTGTTGTGCTTTTGAATGTGCCCTTTGCTGTGTTGTTTTGACTACAGTACAATGGCCGGCAATGAGTCAGATGGAGAAGATGGACTGATCACATTAAATATCTACACAGAATGACAATGGCTAGTACTACCAGCCGAGCATTCAACCACAAACTCTTCCTCACAGTGTTTATTAGTTTAAAATAATTAATGAATGTAATGATGAGGACTATATTATCAGCGTTAATTATTAGTGACTTCCACGAGGAAGCTAGCCAAACATAAGGCCTCATGTTTATGTGGATTCTACTGGCCTTGTAGAAATGTGATATCCATCAGAGATGTGTCAGTTAAGTGAAATTGTGCATTGTTGTTCATTTAAGATTTATGAATGTGCAATAAATCCATGTCATTGGAGTTTGGGAAAAGAATTCTCACAAGCCATATAGAGCCAGTTTTAACATACTGCTGTGAATCCTGGACAATTATTAAATAAGCTGAAAAATATCTTGAGGCCTCCTGGATATGTTTTTACAGACAAATTCTTAGAATTCCTTGGACAGCTAAAAAGAGCAACCCAGATTTATTTTTAAA